GTCACGTCGGATCTCAGGAAAGACCGACAGCAGTTCCTGTCCAGTTTGAGCAAGGATCGCTGCCAGTGTCGATGCGGAGGTTGTCCACTTGAGAAATAGTATCGCCTGCCCAGCAGCGGCCCCTGCCTGCTTTGGACAACTTTCGCTGTTCGGTATCGTGCCCATTTTTCCGTATCTGTTTCGAGTATACAAAACCGCTGGCGATTCGGGTCGGACGGAAGTGGGGGAGGTGCGACATTTGCTGCATGCAGCTGGTTTCGGCTCAGCCGTCTGTGTCTCGTTGCCGTCCGTTTCACATGTATTCGGTTGCGCGCTGTATGAGCTTGTGGCATCTGGGCTGTCAGGCCTGCTTCATCGAGGCGAGCCGTCGTTTTATGGTGATGGTGCAGTGTAACAAATACAGCTGCTTCTAGTTATGCCACCAGTGCTTTCGTCGATAGATTGGCGCCCCTGGCGCCGGGAACGCCAGCTGCGTCAGCTGATTCGTTGATCCCCCCGTTGCTGATGCCCCCCTCTTCGTCCGACCCGAGCGATGCTGGGGCCTGGGGGGCCCGCCCGGGGGCCGGGCAGACAGGCGAGCTGGCTGAACTATAGAGCACGCGATGCTCGCAGTGGGTGCGAGTGCTCCCGGGCCCGCTCCTCCGGCGCCGCCGGTCCGGGCAGGAGCGCCGGTCCGGGGGCAGCTGCAGCACGCGACGGGTCACCCGACGACTTCTGTGAAGTCGGGCCTGTCCCCCTACATGGGGATTTTCGACGAAAGATAAAAAAATACCCCCCAAATAATCAAAAAATTAGACAACAATAGTCTGGGGATTCTTTTTGGAGTATTGTTTGACCTTTTTGGGGTGGTATTTTTGGGGTAATTGTTATCTTTCGTCGAAAATCCCCCCTGTAAGGGGGACAGGCCGGACATGAGACTTCTGCCCCTGGGTCACTCGCCGGACCAGAACGCCGTCCAGGACGAGGCGCTCTGCGACGACGCCGCGGAGGCCGAGGCGTAAGCGGAGCAGCAGCCCGCAGTGGGCGCGGGCATACGCCGCGAGCAGCATCGAGAAGCCCGGCGAGTCCACGGCGGAGGCGGACGCGGAGGCCGTGGAGCGCGCCCTGGGCGGCAGCAGCGCGCCCGTGGGAGGGGCGCCGTGCCAGGTCCTCGCCGAGAAAGCAGCGGGGCGAAGTTTTCGATCGCGGGCTACACAGTCCGACGGCAGGGAATGTTGCCAATGGGGGCAGGGTCCCGGTGAAGCACAGGCGTTGCATGAGCCCCGATTGCGAGACAAGGCAGCCATGGGTTCAGATCCGCAGGGGCTTGGAACAGGGTCCACGCCCAAGCTGCAGGCCCAAGAGGCTCTGGCCAGCTCGCTGCCTTCGCAAGGTGACACGGGTGTGCGAAGCTCTTGGGGACTACACCGGTAACACCCCGTTCTTCTGGTGCGGCCTTTGCGAGTGGGTTGGCCATGCCGGGTGGGTGGACGACAGCCTGAATGACAACGGTAATCGATTGCAGGCGGCGTGTCGCATGGCGAACAGCTCGTTTGGTCCACAGCCCATCGGCAGGAATGGACGGACCTCGGCGGGGTGGGTGGCGGAAGTGGCCTTGCTGCAGCGTCATCCTACCGGTTCCAAAGCCCGATTGAAGGGAGGTGCGCCGCAAGCGGGTTCTGAGCGAGCGTGCGCATTGGCTGCAACTTCGGCGGCGCCGTCGGCGATGTTTACAACGGGTGTCTACCAGTCGAGTGTGAAAGGGAGCGCGCCCACATGGCGCGTGGCGCTGCCCCATGATGCAGCGCGCGGCGCTGTTGCATCAGAGAGCGCAGGGTGCTGCAGCGTCACGTAGCCCATTGCCCTGTCCTCATTGGCGCATTCCCCCCCCTCTTCCCCCGAAGTGTCTGTCACCCACTGCGGCAGCACGGGGGAACCGAGCAGATGTAGCGCATGGCGTTGTTACCCTCGCCTTGACTTCTCCCCCCCTCGTTCTCCATCCTCGTTGTCCTTCCTCCTCTCTGCCTCCACCTCCTCCACCACTTCTGTCATCCGTTCTGTGTTGCGCAGGTGTGCGACGCGCGTGGCCTGGCATTGTTTCGCATCGCCTTCCCAAGTGTTGCATATCTCGCAGTGCTTCCTCGTGTATAAAGCGGTCACGTGTCACGTGATAGTCGCCTCACGTGCGGAAGGGGTTTGGCCACGTCCCGGGTACCTTGCACTACGCGGCCCCTGGGAGCCCCGACCCTCTCCCCGGGGCCGGTTTCTCGTCCCAAGCGCTTTTGTTGACGACCCCGAGGCCTGGCAAGGGCCCCCAGAGGCCGAAAAGAATCAACAAACACATCCCGCCGTGTTTTTAACGGCCCGAGCATGCCCGGGACGCTTCCGTGGAGGGGAAGGATGAGGAGGAGGAGGAGGAGGAGGAGGAGGAGGAGGAGGAGGAGGAGGAGGAGGAGGGGCGCGGTGGTGGAGGAGGAGGAGGGGGGCGGTGGTGGAGGAGGAGGAGGAGGAGGAGGAAGGAAAAAGGAGGAGGAGGAGAAGGAGGAGGAGGAGGAAAAAGGAGGAGGAGGAGGGTGCGGTGGTTGGAGGAGGGATGGGAGGAGGAGTGAGGAGGAGGAGGACAGGAAGGGGTGGGAAGAGGAGGAGGAGATAGAGGTGGCGGAGGAGGAGGCAGGGAAGGGTTTCTAGACGCACGAGGGGGGCGCTCCGTCGGTGCCTTCGGGCCCGGCCGGCGGCCGTCCCCGCACCTTAAAAACATGTACCCATCATCCACCGTTTCCCAAGGCTGGAGGCCGCGCGGGCCCGCCTGGCGGAGGCGCGGCGCCCCGCGGGCGCGGCGCAGGCGGGGGGCGCGGAAGCGTGGCCACGCCCCGCGGTGGGGGACGACGGCGAAGAGGACGAAGGAGGAGGAGGAGGAGGAGGAGGAGGAGGAGGAGGGCCGAGGGCCGAGGGCCGAGGACCGAGGACCGAGGACCGAGGACGGAGGAGGAGGAGGAGGGGAGGAGGAGGAGGAGGGGGAGGAGGAGGGAGGAGGAGGAGGAGGAGGAGGCGGAGGAGGAGGAGGAGGAGGAGGAGGAGGGGGTAGGGGAGGGGACGATAGAGGTGGAGGAGGAGGAGGAGGAAGAGGAGGAGGAGGAGGTGGAGGGGGAGGACGGAGGAGGACGGAGGAGCAGGGAGGATGGAGGATGGAGGACGGAGGATAAGGGAAGAGGAGGGAGTGGAGGAGGAGGAGGAGGAGGAGGACGAGGAAGGATGGAGGATGGAGGATGGAGGAGGGTGGAGGCGGAGGAGGAGATTGTTGTACCGAGCGCTCCAGCGAACGGTCAGAGATGGCCAGAAGGAGGAAGAGGAGGGGGGAGGCGGCGGCAGCGGCTGCGCCTCCCGTCCTTGCCTGCGCGCTGAAGGTCTTCGCCCTCGCGCTGGCTCTTGGGATGGGGCCTTTCTTCAGCCATGCGCAGAGGGGTGTGGAGGGAGGGGGGAGATCTTCTTAGAAGCACCCCTGCTTCTTAGAAGGCGCGGGCCTTATCTGTAGATGTAAGGCCGCCGCCTTCTACGAAGCAGCCTCCTTCTAAGAAGCCATCCCCCTCCCTCCACTCCCTTGCACGCGCCGCCAACTTCTGCACCCCCTGGAAATTATCCCCACCTTTTCCTAGTGGGAGACTTACTCTCCCTCGCTGACTTGAGAAGTGAGCGATCCATGCCAAGACACCCACGTGCTGTGCAGGCCCAGCAGTCAGCAGAGTCAAACAACTGAGCTGCGTGGGATGGGTGCGTGGTATGACTACCGATCTGAAGACGGGCGGAGGATGGAGGATAGAGAAGGAGGAGGAGGAGGAGGAGGAGGAGGAGGAGGAACAGGACCACAATGATGACGGAGGAGGAGGCAGAGGAGGAGGAGGAGGAGGAGGAGGAGGAGGAGGAGGAGGAGGAGGAAAAGGGATGGAGGAGGAGGTGGAGGGTGTGAGGCGGAGGGTGGAGGACGGAGGAGGATAGAGGAGTTGGAGGAAGAGGAGGGGGATGGAGGATTGAGGAGGACGGAGGGGGGATCGAGCGGCCGCTTCGTCTGCGCCTCCCAGGCGCCGCACGGGCCGCTGCAGGCCCTGCAGCTGGCGGGGGAGCCGAGTGATGCGCCAGGCGCGCGGCTGCCGCTCCTGTGGCTCGGCGGAGCCCCGGGGCCGAGCGCCTGCCGTCGCCTCGCTGCCTCCGCCCGTCGGCGGGACACGGATTCCGATCCTCCTCTCGCCTCCTCCTCCCCCCCCCTCCTCCCTCCTCCTCCTCCTCCTCCTCCTCCTCCTCCTCCTCCTCCTCCTCCTCCGTCCTCGGTCCTCCGTCCTCGGTCCTCGGCCCTCGGCCCTCGGTCTTCCTCCTCCTCCTCCTCCTCGCGGGCCAGGCTCCCCGGCCGCGACCACGGACATGGGGCTGTTTTGTTGCGGGGAGGCTACCTTGCGCGGAAGGTGCCCGCGCGACCGTGTATACGCGAGATCGCGCTCCGCAATCCAGCCAGGCTCCCGGGCCGCGACCATGGACATAGTTTTTGTTTTTCGCAGGGACTACCCTGCGCGGAACGTGCCCGCGCGACCGCATATACTAACGCGGGATCGCGCTCCGAAGTCCAGCTGGCGAGGGCGCGGGTGTGGATGCGTTCGCCCTTCGTGATCTGCATCCACGTGTGTGTGTGTGTGTGCGTGTGTGTGTGTGTGTGCGTGTGTGTGTGTGTGTGTTCCGTGTGTGCGTGTGAGTGTTTGTGTGTGCGTGCGTGTGTGCGTGTGTGTGTGTGTTTGTGTGTGCGTGTGTGTGTGCGTGTGTGTGTGCTTGTTTTTGTGCGTCTGTGTGAGCATGTGTGCGCGTGTGCGTGCGTGTGTGCGTGTGTGCGTGTGTACGTGTGTTTGCGTGTGTGTGTGTGTGCGTGTGTGTATGTGTGTGTGGGTGCATGTGTGTGTATGTGTGTGTGTGTGTGTGTTTGTGTGCGCGTGCGTGTGTGTTTGCGTGTGTGTGTGTGTGTGCGTGTGTGCGTGCGTGCGTGCGTGCGTGGCGTGTTTGTGTTGTGAGTGCGTGCGTGCGTGTGTGTGTGTGGTGTGTGTGCGTGTGTGTGTGTGTGTGTGCGTGCGTGCGTGTGTGTGTGTGTGTGTGTGTGTGAGTGTGCGTGTGTGTGTAAGTGTGTGTGTTTGTGTGTTTGTGTGTGTGCGCGTGTGCGTGCGTGTGTGTGTGCGTGCGTGTGTGTGTGTGTGTGAGAGTTGGTGTGTGAATGTGTGCTTGTGTGTGTGAGTGTGAGTGTGTGAATTTGTGTTTGTTTGCGAAGTTGTGTGCGTGCGAGTGTGCGTGCGTGTGTGCGTCCGTGTGTGCGTGTGTGTGTTTGTTTGTGCGTGTTTGTGTGTGCGTGTGTGTATGCGTGTTTGTGTGTAGCGCGTGCGTGTGTGTGTGTGTGCGTGTGTGTGTGTGCGTGTGTGTGTGTGTGCGTGTTTTTGTGTGCGCGAGCGTGCGCGTGTGAGTGTGTGATAGTGCTTGTGAGTGCGAGTGTGTATTTCTGCGTGTTCGTGTGCGTGCGTGCGTGTGCGTGTTTGTGTGAGTGCGTGCGTGTGTGTGTTTGTGTGTGTTGGTGTGTTGGTGTGTTTGTGTGTTTGTGTGTTTGTGTGTTGGTGTGTTTGTGTGTCCGTGTACGTGCGCGCGCGCGTGCGTGCGTGCGTGCGTGTGTGCCTCTCTGGCTCGGCCTGTGGGCCAGCATCTGCCTCTGGCTCTGCCTCTGCTCCTGCCCTCCGCGTCGTCCCAGGCGCACTCGCCGGGTCCTGACGACGCGCGTGAAAGCCAGAGTGCGGTCGTGCCCAGCTCAGCTCCATCCACAGCGCGCCGCCCGTGTCGGCCCTCACCACGCCAGCCTGCGTCGTCTTGAGGAGCTTCGGCGGGCAAGCGCGCGCCGGCGCTGACGCGCGCTCTGAGGATCGTCGACGCGCTCCCCGCCCCTCTCCCCCAACTCCTCCCCCTTCCTGGATCTATGACTCTATTGGACCCTCTCTGCCTCTGCTCTTGCTCCTGCTCTGGCTCTGTTCTGGATCCCACCACGCTGCTCCCAGGCGCTCCCGCTCCTTCCCCTGCGCCTGGACCTGCTCCTGCACTCGCTCCTCTCCCTGCTCCTGCCCCCTCTCCGTGCACGTCCCTCCTCTTATGATGTTCCTACCTACTTTAGCCTGGACCACCAGGAAGAATTTCGAGCACAAGAAAAGAACCGAAACTCGAGGGATTTCACGTGCCGGGCCCTGGGAGACACTGATTAGACACTGCTTCGACACTGCTTCGAGAGACCTTTTCGACATTTTCTCGGGCGCTCGGAACCATTCCTGGGATGTGGCCCTTGAGTGCGATGGGAGCCGCATGACCCTCCTCCCCCCCCCTCCCGCTCCCTCGGAGCTCTCAACGCTCGGGGGTGGACAGAACCCCCAACAGTGACACGTCGATTAGTGAATTGTCCGTTTTCGGTTCTCGAGAGGGCGCCGCGGCCGTCATTTTCCAGGCTCGCGCCCGCCAGGTTTGGGCCCAAAGTCGTTTTCACTAAACCACGTTTTACTAAAGGGAGGTCTGTCCATCCCCGAAACGCCTCCGAGGCGTCCGCTTCGTTTTTTCCGGACCCGCAGGACCCTACGGCAGCGGGGACGCCACGCCCTTCGCGGCGGCGCTGGGCTACCACCTCGCCGGGCGCCCAGGGGGAGCCACGCGCGCGGCAGCTCGCCCCGCCGCCCCTCCGCCCGCCGAGGGCCGCCGCTTGAAGTCAGATCTGACCTCAAAGGGGCACGCTCCTCCTCCTCCTCCTCCTCCTCCTCCTCCTCCTCCTCCTCCTCCTCCTCCAGATCGGCCCCTCGGCCTGGGGAAACGAAACCAGCAGGTACCGATACCGCCACTCCCCGGACCTCTGCCAGGGTGCGTTTTTTGGCCAGGATCTCGTGGCGAGTCCGGCGAAGGCGACGGAGGGCCTCCCGGGAGGCCCCCAAAGGGGCAACACTGACGAAGGGTAGCGGTATGGGCATCCTGGATTTCTTAATAAGCGTGGGTGGGGGGACCCCCCCGACGGGGGTCAACCTCGCCTCGTCGTCGCGCCGCGACGGGGGTCGGAGCGCCTTCGGCGCGCGGTGGCTGCCCGCGACGGGGGTCGATGTGGGGCTGTCGGCGGGGGTGACGCCCCCCCCCCCGACGCTTATCGAGGAACTCGGAGTGCCTTTTCTGAAGGGGCCCTGAGGATTCCCCATATTTTCCCATATTTTCTGGGTTTCTGTCTGCTCCCCCACTGCCCATATTTTCCGGTATTTTTGGGGGAATCGACGATTGATTGTGTCTGTGTGTTTTTTCTCCTCCTGGTTTTCCTCTTCCGATCTCCCCCTGCCGAACCTCACCACCAAAAGGGGCCCCAGCCGAAAACACCATCCCGACAGGGCCGCCGGGGTGGCACCGGTCGGGGAGACGTAAGACTCGGGTATGGGGGACTCGGGTTGGCCTGACGGGGCCATCATGAAATTGACGAGACCCCATCTTAAATTTGACGCGAGCACCCGCTGCAAACATCCCACGAAAACTGGACCGTCAAAATCAAGGACGCGCTCGTCAAAAAATATCGGTAAATCCGAGTTCTGGCTTACTCAAGTCTTACGTTATGATGTTCCTACCTACTTTAGCCTGGACCACTAAGAAGAATTTCCCGAAACTCGAGGGATTTCACGTGTGGGGCCATGGGAGACACTGGTTAGACACTGTTTCGACACTGCTTCGAGACCGTTTCGACATTTTCTCGGGCGCTCGGAATCATTTCTGGGATGTGGCCCTTGAGTGCGATGGGAGCAGCACAAGTCTTACGTTTCCCCGAACCAACATGGGCCTGTTGTGATTTGGGATTCAGGCCTGGCGTCCAAGAGCGCGTTCCAGGGCCATGCCTCGCCCCTCCCTCCCCCCCTGGAGGTCTCTGGGGGGGATTCGGGAGGCCTCGAGGAGAGCCCTGGCCCCCAGGTGTCATTGGAGCTCTCTGGAGGCCCCTGGAGGCCTTCCAGGAGGCACGAGGAGGAGGAGGAGGAGGAGGAGGAGGAGGAGGAAGAGGAGGAAAAGGATGTGGAGGATAAGGAGGGGGAGCAGGAAAGGAGGAGGAGGAGGAGGAGGAGGAGGAGGAGGAAGAGGAGGACGAGGACGAGGAGGACGAGGACCCCAGGGAGCCCAGATGCTCGATCCCCGAGGGCGAAACTCCGAGCCCTCTCCAATAGGCCCGTGCCAGCCATGGTCCTCGGCAGGGGTGCTCCTGGGGGGGAGGCGCTGGGGCCGCCCATGCCTTCCAGGAAGCACCCCGAGGGGCCCGTATCCGCGATCTTCGAGGGCAGAACTCGGATCGCGCTCAGAGGACCTCCGCGGCCGTGGTCATCGGCAGCCGGAGCGTTTTGGCGCCTCTGGCTCAAGCAGCGGACCTGCAGAACACGCAAGTCAGCACTCTGAGCATTCGTCTCTCGAGCTCATGGGAAATTCCTCGGTATCGCCCAGACATGCTTGTGCTATGTGTGCGTCGCCCCCCCTCCAGGGGCGACGTGCGCAGGCAGAACTGTTATGACAGGCTCGGCAGTGGGCGCTTCCTGGCCCTACGCCTGGATGGCGATCTTGGCGGCGCTCCCACCTCCTACGGTGCCAAGGGAAACGTCCACCTCTGAACCAGGTTATTCGATGAAGCTGTCGAGCATCAGGGGGGCGGCGAACGGGAGACAGTATTGACACTGGTTGTCGAGCGAGTCTGCGGAGTGTTCCGAGGCGGCACTCCCGGACGAGGCCGTGCCTCACCATCCAAGCCTCACGACACAGCACTCGATTCGTCTCGTTTCTCGGTGCGTCGCCTGGCTCCGGACGCGTTCGTCCAGACCCGGAGGTTGTACAGGCGCTCTCATCAGCGTGTGGCGCATGAGGAGTTAAAGATTGCTACGATGAACTGCCAACATCTCAACCCATGGCGGCATGACAACTGATTCAAATTGCAACAACTTGTTCTGGACGCGCGCCATGGGCACTGGCACGTGGGTCTTCTGTCTGATATGGCTCCCCGAGGCGCTTCGCCTCAGGTTTCAGTTGTGTGTGTAGAAGAGTACGTGCTGGTGTTGAGAGGTCGTGTTGGGATTTTACTTGATCAGTGTATGGCCTGGGCGTGGCGGGATGCAGGTGCCCGGACGCTGTTCCACGGTGACTGTGATCGTGTTCTGGCCGTCCCACTTCGCCTCCATGGCCAGATGTATGCTCTTGGGGCCGTTTATGTTCCAACCCAGGCTCCAGATCATGCTGCAGAGCGTCGTGCCGCCTGCGAGGCTGCGACAACGTTACACGACGCTGTGGCGCCAAGCACGCATTGGATCTGGGAGGTGACTGGAATTCCCACTTCGGTAAGGACGCAGTCAGCTGGGGCTGGGTGGGAGGTCGTGTCCTAGAGACTCCCACGGCGGCGTCTTCGTATCATGTCCAGGAGTGGGCCCAGCCAGCTGGATTGCATCATGTGGACAGCTTCTTGCCGTTCCGTGCGGGGAAGCGGGGTACTTGGCTCAACCGACGGAACCGCAAGTATTACGAGAATGACTACTTCTTGTCCTCCATTGCGCCTGGCTTCAGGCGCTGGCGGAAGGCTGCCACCTTTGCTGCGTCTTTCGGAGATCACTTTGGGAAGGTCGTCCACTCATGTTGCCAGGTCGAGTCCGCGCTCGTGAGTGCCGACGCCGGGCCGTCTCGGCCGCTCCGCCGGGCAAGTACCGCTCAAGCTTCGACGGTGCTCTCCGCGAGCGCCGGCCCCTCCGAGTCGACCTTCTCCGCGGGCCTTCACACAGCGCCCAGGCGGCTCGACGCGTGTTTGCGGGAGCAGCCGCCCAGCAACTCGCCAACCCGACGCCGTCCTCCTCCGCCACCGCGCCGGCTCCCTCCCTGACCAGCTGGGCGTCGCTATCCAAAGCCCTGCGGTTCGCTGAAGAGGAAGCCGTGGGCCGCCAGCCTCGCCGCAATGTGCTTCCGATTCTGGCGTCCAGGCAGAAGGAGGAGGCCGCAGACAAAGCGGCACTAAAGGCATTATGGGAGTCGATACGTCGGGAGCCGGACGAGGACAGAGCCCTCGAACTGCGGGCCGAATACAAGAGGATGAAAGCGGCTGCGAGGAGCAGAGAACGGTGGTGGCGACGAGAATTTATAGACGAACTCTGTGGGGACCTTCAGCGGGCAGTGGACGATCGGGACAGCCGCCGTTTCTACGCTGGATTGCGAGAGCTGGGTGTGTTTTCGCGCGACACGGGGCTGCTGGAGGACGATTGTTTCACGGCAGAGCAGGCGGCTCAGCACCTGAGGAGCATCGGGGGCGAACACGACCTGCCCAGCACCCGCGACCAGGTGCTCCAGGAGGTGCCAGGGCACCCCCCCGACGTCGGCTTGGACACGCCACCGCTGAACGACGAGATCCAGTCCGCTATCGACACCATGGGGGTCTCGGCCGCCGGTGACGACGAGATCACGATAGACATGGTCCGAGCTGGCGGGCCGCCCGTGCCCCTACAGGCGCGCGTGCTGGCGCGGCGTTTTTGGCCCCAGCCAGGGCAACATTGGGAACCTGGGGTCGCGCGCGGAGTGGTGACCACGTTGTGGGGGAGGAAGGGCAGCAGGGAGGATCTCGACAACTACAGATGGATATGCTTCCTGTCGATCATTTCTCGTATTCTCGCGCGGGTAGTGGCGAGAAGGCTGAGCGGTTGGACAGAACAGAAGGGGCTGTACGTCGCCGAGCATTACGGATTTCGCATTTACCGCTCCACGCGGGACGCCATCCTCGTCTGCAGGGTCATGTTCGAAGAGGCGGTTCGCCCAGGCTCCAACTTCGAGGAGGACGTCCTCACGCTTCTCCTTGTAGACATCAAGAAAGCCTACCCCAACGTCCCGCGCGCGCTGTGCTGGGACGCCCCGAAGAAGCTCGGCGTGCCGGCGGGGTTGTTGCAGGTGCTACAGGGCCTTCACGAAACGACGCAGTATGTGGTCCGCACCAAGCGTGGCGATTCCGCGCCGTACCTCTCGCAACGTGGTCTACGCGAGGGATGTCCCAGTAGTTGCGCGGTGTGCAACATCTTCCATCATGCAGCCCTTCAAGCCCTCTAGCAGCAGCTGGACAGTGCATCCATCAGGGCGCGCACCGCGCTGGAGAAGCCACTGCCCCGCCCTCGCGGGAAGGCTCCGCCTCCCGAGGGACTGCAGGACTTCCTCTTCCAGCTGTTGGCTTTCGCGGACGACGCTTCTGTCCCGTCGGCGCCCTCGAACACCGCAGTGGTCGAGCGCGCGGTCACTGCTGTTCTCCGGGGCCACGGAGAGCGCGCGCACCCGGGGGAGATCGAGAAGATCATGGCCGCGCTGGCCGGGTTGGAAGGGCCACTCCCTGAGGGCTTATACCGCAGCACCCGCTTGCTTGGCGCCTGGATCGATAGCGGCGGAGGCTCCAGGAAGGACACGGAGGAACGCATCCAGAAGGCAGCCGCTCTGTGGCACAAGAGCAGGCCGCAGCTGCCTCGCATGCGCTTGTCTCGTAGACTGCTCGCTCAAGTTGTCCAGTCGACTGCGGTGGCGCGCCTGCTCTGGGGGTGCGAGGTCCGCACGTGCACTGCCCAGGACTGCATGCGCATGCAGGTGTTTGTCAACAAGATCATCCGCTGGCTGACGTGGGCACCAGAGACGGGCGGCACGCGGCAGATGGAGGGGGAACTTAAAATGACGGACCTGCGGTTGCAGCTCGGCCTGCTCACCGTCAAGGAGTAACTGCGTCATGCGGCGCCAGCGCGCGCACCTCGGACACGTGGCCAGATACCCTGCTGACCGACTGGAAAGGCTCGCTCTGGGTGCTTGGCTGGGCAGCTCCAAGGGGCGCGCCCTCGGACTGCGAGACTTCTACTGGCAACGCGTCCGTGAGGTGATGCGACGCAGTGGCCTGCCCGAGCGCGAGTGGCCGGGCGCCTGGGTGGAGTTCGCTCGATCGGGGGGGCCACGCGGGGCGCCCTGGCGAGCTGCTTGCGGGCGCGCCGTCGCTGATCGCAAAGAGGGGGCCGACAGGGATACGTGGGCGAGACGCCACGCTGACGACGCGCAGCGTCCCTACTGTTCCCGGCAAGTGGCGAACTTGCCGCGTCGCTTCCGGGAGTGCGACAGGGCCCCTCTTCGTCGCCTCCGGGGCAAGCAGCCGCCGCCCCGTGCTCCGGCGCCGCGGACTCGAGCGCGGCCCCGGGGGAAGCAGCGAGCAGACCGCCTCCTCCGAATCCGACTCCCAGTCGCCAAGCGGACCCTCAAGCCGAAGGCGCGGCCGAAGTCGAGGGCTCAGAGCAAACGCGCACCTCGCCCTCCAGCCCGGGCGCCCGACGCGCTCAGCCGCCAGGGAGGATGGAAATGCCCATATTGTCAGCAGATGGTCGGCGGCCCGACTCACCGCTATGCGCGCGCCGCTGTTCCGCGCGCCGCGCGGCACTCGCGCGTGGAGTCGAAGCAGCGTAAGAAGTTCTCAGACGAGAGCGCCCGGGCGTGATGGGCGTGCAAGTGCCCCGCGTGCGGCATGTCTTTTCCGAGTGTCAAATCGGTGGCGGCGCGCGCGAAGGAATGTCGGAAGCGCCGCGTGCGTTCTGGGCTATGATGTCTCTTCTGCATCCAGGTTTTTTTGAACATTGCCGCGCGTATTCCTGGGAGGTGGTGTCTCGAAGGGCACGCTGTCATCGCCCTTCTTCGCGTCCGTTGCGCATTGGCTCGGGCGGTCGAGCTTGTTGTTGGCTACCTTCTGACTCGTACTGGGCCATTCATTCTGTGCGTCGGCATGGGCGTTCTCCAGGCTGCGCAGAATTCCTGGGGCGCAGCTGCTGCCGCGGCCCCCGCGGCCGGCGCCGGCGCTAAGGGGCGCGGCAAGGGCGGCGAGGGCAAGAGTGAGCGGGCCATCCTCATGGAGGGCATCATCCCCGTGCTCACTGCCCACGAGAGGGCCCTGTGAGACCTCCTCGACCGCTCGTCGTTCGCGGCGGCGGTCAAGGATGCTGGCCTGAGGGGGGGCGTCGAGACGGCGAGGGGCAGCTGGCGCAAGCAGGATCCTCGCCGCGCGAGGGCGAACGACGAGGCCATGGGCCAGGATTCTGGCTATGGGCCCCACCCGCTGGGCCCCCAGCGCTCGCCGATCCACCGGCTCCTTTTTGAGATGCTCTTGAAGGAGGTCTCCGTGGACAACGCCGGGGCCAGGGAGGCGGCGGGCAAAATCTCGAAGCTGGCGAAGGAGGTCGTGGATGGCATCATCTTAAGGATGAAGCCGCGCCGCGACAAGCCGGCAGAGGGCAAGCCGCGGGCGTGGGCGTTTCTGATGTCCGACGAGGTGCCTGCGGAGTACCACGCGGCCCTCCGGATCGTGAAGTCGATCAAGTGCGAGAAGCTCTTCGTGGCGAGCCAGCGCTCGCAGGGCGGCCCCACGGTCAAATGGCTGCTCGACCTGAGGAATGGGTCTACGGAGGCCCGGCCCATTCGCCAGCGGGTCGGCTAGCATGTCGCGAGTCCAGAACGAGTGCGCCTCTGGCAGTGGACGCCGGAGGCGCGTGTCTTCCAGAATTCAGTTCTCTAGCTGTCAGTGCCGATGGGCATATTGATTTGTCATTCTCATACGTCGAGGGGCATGTGGAT